TGCACCAACTATTGTCCGGGAAGGGGGCATCATGTAGACTCTGATTCCACACACATTTGAAAGGCGCTTTTTACTCACCCATCAACGGCTCGGGATCTGTTAGTGAAGCCCAGGCCACTTGATCATCCTGCGATTCCGGTCAATCGTTGGGTTGAAGGAGAGGAGCGGTGACGACCTGTTCTGTTGTGGGCCGTTCTGCCGCAAGCCACGTCCATCTTATGAAGCCGACGGCTGTGTTGGCCCAATTACCTCAGACAAACATATCGGAGTGCTGCAAAGGAGATGGAACGCAAATTTGTAGGACCCGAGCGGTAAGGCGAGGCTGCCTGGTGTGGCAATACGGCCAGAATGCTACCTACCAATGCCGTGTACGTTTCGGTTGAAGGTGAAGGCTTCGCGTGGGTGGATAGGTTAAGCTGATCAGACGGCAGCGAAGAAGACCCTCGAGGCTAGGTGGCAGGCAGCGAAGTGGAGATGACAGCTGCCCAAGGGGTTGTGGTCATGTGAATCGAGCGGGGGCAGTTCGCCGGTCTGTTTGTACATATACGGGTTTACGATGGCAGACGACTAACCCATGGTTGATGAGAGCACGTGTTGATGGCATGAGTGGCCGGCCTCAGACCCGCAGGAGAGAGAATCGTGGCCGCTGATGGGCCGGTGACTGAAGATGACACCCGAGTGGCAGATAGTGACCAGATGAACGGAGCGGTAGCAGGAGACGTAAGCACACGGTGATGACACCGCAGTGGACTGCGGCTAGTTGAAGGACGAGGTGCCGTCGGGGTGCTGAGCGGGTAGAACGCTTCCGGAGGAGATGATGACAGTCACGCTCAAAGGTCGGTCACCGCGAAGCGTAGCCGGCGCTTCTTATTGGTAGAGACCACATCTTGTCGTGTGCCCCGCGAACGCACAAGTTCTCATGATCCCCACCCATGTTCGTCAACAACCGCGACAATTTGAAAAAAAGTCAGCACTCCCATAGTTACCGCCAGGACAACTCACCTCCCACTTTCCAGACCCAGTCGCTGCAGTTTTCCCCCGAGCGCGGAGTTTTTGACAGTCAAAAAATAATTCTAATCCCTTCGCTCTTTGCACCACGGATAAACATGTCGCCGAAAGCGTGGAGGAGTCAAGGACCGCCCCGGAAGCAGAAGGCTTCGCCTTCGCCACCCGAG